TTTAGCCTATTGTATTAAAATAATGAAATAACTTTTAAATGTATCCTGTGTAATACATACCAGGCACTTCTCACCATAACTGTTGGACAGCTGTCTTCCGAAAGAAAGGACTTCTCAGTCCCCACACCTTGCAGTGGTTTAGCCCCAAGGACACGGGCAGTGCATATGGTCAGTGTACCTGAGGGATTTTCCAGAATCACCGGAGCACCAGGACATCCCATTTGAGCTGTTAGTTCCCTCCCCTTCCAACTCAAGTTGTACTCCTGCAGGACGGAAGGAGAGGAGAAAGCTTTTTGTATTTTGCCAGTGCTTAGGAGAAGCCCTGAAGCATGGGTTTGACAGAAGGACTTACTGAATCTGAAAATAGACATATCGCCTAGATCACTCAAAAATGTTCTTAACAAAACTTATTGAAAATAGAGGTTATCTCACTCTGTTATATTTATCGTGTTTACCTATCTGTACTGAGTCCAGGGAAGGAGGAGAATATTAACTCATGCATAGACTTAATGTACTGTGAGCCTTTCACATTTTGATGTAATTTCATGTGATCTTTCTTTTAACATAGCTATTTTGATGGAATTCCTTGCTAGTAATGGATAGTAAGATTACTAAGAAAATAAGTCTTTGTTTGTTTAGTTTCTGTATAATGCTTCCATACCTGTTTTTCCCTCATAGGCTGGGGTGGTGGGAGTGAATATGAGAATAGTTCAGGTTAATGTAAACCTACATATGAGGTGTAATGCTGTAGTTTGTATGTTCTGTTTGAGTTATCCTTTGTTGATTTAAATATGATAAAGAATATTTTGCTAAATTACATGCTGCAGTAAACAGTAGAGCTTTTCCTTAAGCCTGTGCTAGAAATAATGTCAAATGAAAAAATATTTTTGTATTAGATATGATTATATGAAAACACATCCTTCTGAGAAAATGCATCTAGCAGTGGTTGCCTGTGGTGAAAGACTGGAGGAAACGGTTACTATGTTGAGATCAGCCATTATTTTCAGCATCAAACCTCTCCAGTTTCATATTTTTGCTGAAGACCAATTGCATGAGAGCTTCAAAGACATAGTAAGTACCTAAATAATTTATTTAATCAATTTGTAGTACAATTTGAGTAATATTCAGCAATTTCTCTGCTTCTTGGATAGTAGTTGTTTGATATAGTGACAGAAGTTCAGGGGTGTAAAAAGAAGGAAATTGTGCAAGTCTTTCGTAATGTTGGATGGAGTTTTTTGAATTTTTTTTTTCTGTGGAAAAATGCCAGTTGCTGGTATCAAAGTTTTTCATGGAGACAGACCAAAAGTTTCTGATTTGTCACCTTGAATCTGTTAAATACAAACCTGATGTTCTGAATGCAAACCAATTATCTTGTGTAAGCTTATTTAAAGTTGGTTTTATAAGAGAAAATGGAGATCTGTGCTTATGGTATGAGTCAGCCTTACGTTGTCTAAACAAAGTGAAACATCAGTCTTTGAAAATGGTAGATATGGTTATGTCTAATTTTAGTAAATTCCAGTTAATGACTGTTACATTAGGACTGGGGTAATAGTATTAGAAGCTGACTAGTATATAGCTGTGGAGGGTTTTACTATTTTTGTGCTTAAAATGTCATACTAACTCTGACATTAGTATGTTATACATACTATATATGCACTAATGTCATGCGAACAGTAACTGGCAAAAATTGGGTAAGATTATTTCAAATTGAGAAAGACTTAATTGGCATTTCTCCTGTGGAAACTGGTTAAGAGAGGAAAAATTTTTATTTGATGTGTTTATGTTTTGTAAATACTAACTTATTTTGCTTGCCTGCTTTTGTATATTATCTAATATGATGTGTTTTCTTCAGAGTGGCCTGCAGGTGCCACTTCTTGTTCGAGTATTTTGAATAGCTGACAGATTCTTGTAGTTCAGGAAGCATTACTGTTACGGAAGAGAGGTGTTGCAGTTGTGTTCGATTATCAATTTGAATGGAGGATTGATTTCTTTTTTGTAATAGAATTGAAGTAATTTTTATGATCTCTTCTTTTCACATAGCTTGATGACTTCCCCTATGAAGGAAAAGTTAATTACACATTATATCCAATAACATTTCCAACTGAGAGCGCAGCAGAATGGAAGAAATTGTTTAAACCATGTGCTTCACAAAGGCTGTTCTTGCCAGTAAGTTATTCTGTAATAAGACAGTACAGAATTCTGTTTATGGAGCATCAAGCTGTCCTCATTAATCTATTTTCTGCTTAGTTTTAAGTTAAGAACTACTACTACTACTCCTAAAAGTACTTTCATGACATCCTAAAAAAACCCTCAGAATTTAACCTTCTTCTGTGGCACTAATACACTGTAGAGTAAAAGTCGTTTTCTCACATGCTGCATTATGGCACAGTATCCTCAGTGAGAGGTACAGGTCATGCCATCCTCTCAGAGGTAAGAAGGATTTATCACTCCTCATCTCTTTGTTTAGTTGGAAAGTTTCCTGCATGCATGGGTCTGAGAAGTGTTAGAGAAAATGAAACAAGAAATGGACTATTGTTGCCAGAGTGTTTTGTGCAGCCTTTTCTTTGCTCATCTAGGACACTTCAGAAATCATACTCCAGGCTAGGTGAATTATAGCAGTGGCAGTTACCTCTCAAATATTGTCTCTTCTCAGGCTCCCTTACACCTCCCCCTTGTTTGTTTAGATGCGTAGGAAAGCCAGGGAACAGGAGGAAGACAGGAGCTCCTGTTACGGTAAAGTTTCACCCAGCCTGCAGCCTGCTCTTGAGGAGCCCCAGGATAGAAAATGTAGACTGAGTGCCTTTGGATTACTATTCTGTATAAAACCTCTATCTAAAAAAATTCTCAAAAGTGAGAGAAGAGGGAAGATGACTAATTTATTGATTACAAACTGTCAGTCTAAAGTGAATTTATTTGCATATGACAAAAATGTATTAAACTTTATTGTGTAATGACAGCAACTTCTGTTTTATGAAGAGAAGCTCAATAAGACTTAAAAATTTGGGTTTAAATTTCTTTCCTTCACAGTTAATCCTCAAAAATGTGGATTCGCTACTGTATGTTGATACTGACATCCTGTTTTTGAGACCTGTTGATGATATATGGTCTTTTCTGGGAAAGTTCAACTCCACACAAATTGCTGCAATGGCACCGGAACATGAAGAGCCTCGTATCGGGTGGTATAATCGCTTTGCTAGACATCCCTATTATGGAGTAACTGGAATAAATTCTGGAGTCATGTTAATGAATATGACGCGTATGAGAAGAAAGTATTTCAAGGTACGTGTGTTGCCTTTATTGCATTTTCTGTGGTTTTACATATTTTAATTCTAATCCATTTCAAATTCATGAGGGACAATATTTTTCAAAATATTTTTCTTGTAATTGAAAATTACGAAATTTAAACACAGCTCTAAAAATACGCTGTGCTTAAAATGATATCTAACTTGTGGTTTACAAATGTCATTTACTGTAAGACTTGAAATTCCTGAATTTCAAGTGTGCTTGATTGTTTTAATTTTTCTTAGTTCTGAGAAATCTTGTGACTTGATATAGTCTGTTTATAAATTATATTTATCAGTAGATATTCTGGTATTTTTTTTCTTCACTGTAGAGGTCCCAGAAAACAGTTAATGTATACTGTAAACTAACTTTAAAAATGTGTGTAGTAGTATGACCAGAAGGTGGTGCTAAAACATTTAGTAACTTATTTTAACTGTACTGTTTCCAAATTTTGAACTCTTAAATTGTAACCAGGTGATTATCACCTTAATTATCTCTTTATTTACTTTGAAGTCATAGTTTTTGCAGAGAAATAAGTTCATCATGAAAGTACTTACTAAAGCAGTGCATGCAGCAGCGGAAATGGTCATTGCTTCACAGATGGGAATTTTTTTCTTACCTACTTGAAACACAAGTACTAAAGCAGTGCTATGTGATTATGCTGGGGAAAAAGTAATTCTATGTTGAAGAGAAGTTTGATTAGGGGAAAAAAAAATCATGCAGTCAAAAACTATTGGAAGGTGTCCCCATAAAAGAAACAATATAAACTTGCAGTAGACTTTACTTCTTCTCCATTTCCAATTTAAGAAAGATTTAATTGCTGTGTGTTTTTGTTATGGAAATACAGAGAATTTAAGAAAAATGGAGAATGGATGATCTCGATTGTAGTTAAAGTAGGAAGTTATATGGTATATAGTTGTAGTTTCCCCAAGAAGAAAACTTTTCTGTATATATCACCAGTGGAATCTTGCATTGTCTACTTTATTTGTTTTCCTGATTATAGCATCTGGAGAAAGTAAAATATTGAAAAGTATAACAAGAAAAATATGAGACTGAAAACTGTGTGTCTCTTAACCTCTGACAATGCATTTCTGTGTAGTGAATTATTTTTAGTGTGGTAAACTGAGATAAGGTTGGTCTTTTATTCATATTGTGCCAGAATTCTGGTTGGGCTTCTCAGTATAACTCTGGTTATCTATTTGTTGGAAATTTGATGCATGTTTACTAAAATTGGAGTTAAAATTTTCAAAAGTATACAGATTATGTAGGATACTAAAATTGTCTTTTAAATTAAATGCCATTTTCTAGAAGGCTATAATATAAAGTCCTTTCTCCTTAACACCTAAAACAGGTGGTTTCTCAAAAGTTAAGTCAATATATACAGATTTAAGTAGGTAAAATAATTCATAAATATTTTGAAATTCAAAATGGAATATTGCTGCTTTCCCTTGGTACTAGAGGGCTGGAGTATTTTCCAGGTCCTGAAAATATCTGCTACATATTCCTGTTGTTGCCATGTTCTATATTTATTATGCACTGAAACATATCAGATTGCTAAACCAAAACCAGCCTTAGAGGAAGTGATTTTTTATAATTACTCTTTATTATGGGGGTGAATATCTGTGATTTATAAGACCTCATCTGTAAGGCGAGGCACAAATCTGTATGCTTTTGTCATGATCCTGCTGAGAAACTTCAGTGTACCTAACATGATGCACAGTTTCTGGCTGAGTGGGCCACTGAACTTTCTGTGGCAAGGAAGATTGTGTGCCATAACTGGTATGGGGAATTGGAACAAAAAAGAAGTCTTGAATTGTCCTGAAAACATTCATCTTAATGGTCTTCATCACATTACTCAGAACGTACTGTACCAAGCAAGTCTTCTTGATAAGTTGTAGGTTAGTGTTCATACAATTAAGAGAAAGGAACTGAGACTGGAGTGAGCTACCCAGTGCTGTGCAAGTGTACTAAATATTCAGAATTATGAAAAAACAGTTGAGAAAGGGAAGCAGAAACAGAGCAAAGCTTCCCAATAGCAAAGCACATAATTCAAAGCCCTTTTTGACGACTTCAGTTAACAAAAATAAAAAATGCAGTCAACCCATTCCCCTGCTCCACTTCAGTCATTCTAAATGTTAGAAATACAGCATTTTTTGCCCTTAATCCTTACTCATTATTCTTCGGCATCCTTCCCAGGGCGTTGCTGTCACTTCAAACTTAGATTTCCCCTTCTGTGTCTGATGCATGTATACTTCTGGCCCTTGATTTTGCATGTCTTTTGAACTTCATACTTGTGTGCGTAGTGTGGCTGTCCCTCAAACATTTGGGACTAGTGGTCCATGTAAAGAAATGTTCTTTCACTCTTGCTTGGTAGTAAGAAGTGAAAAAGAAATAAAAAATGGTGTGTTCTGTGTATCTGAGTTTTTTAGTAGTTATTTTGAGGGTTTTTTTTTGTGTATGCAGCTTTTAACATGGTTGCTGAGATCTTATTTCTTCCTTTAAATTCTTCTTTTTCCTTCCACTCCTACACATTTTTCCCCCCTGCTCTCATGATCTTGTACATCTTTCCTGGAGTCTTAATCTGATTATCTTGAGCAAGAAAAACAGATATAATGTTTGGATACATGGTGTTTTGACATATATGGATTTGCTGGTTCAGCTGAAGCATTTTAATATGCCCTCTTTGGATACCCTTCTTGATTTAAAACCTTGCCACAGTATCTTTCAGGTCCTTGTATAACAAATGCTGAGCATCTAGTGGAGGAGCATCCAAGTGTTTTGTCTCTGTCTTTGTATGTTTCTGGCAAGTGTAATGTTGGTTATTTGTTCAAGCTTTGGATTTGTAGAGATAGATACTGCTTATTAGACCTTTTTGTATGACTATCTAGTGGCTAGAGCACTTGTCTAAACAGTAGAAGTTTTGGATCAGGATATTGCTCCAATATGATGGATTTAAACTTATGGGTTCTTTGTCTATTGTAGTTTCTTTAGCCTGAAATTACAGGCTGAGCTGCTTGAGGCGTTTAAGCATTTTTCTTCTGTTGTCACATTGATTTGTAAGAATTGGGAGGAAGCAGAAGGTGAATAAATAAAAAGGAGAACCAGAGGCTTTAGCTGATGGTTATAGTGCTCGCCCAGGTAGCAGAAAACCTCTAGTTCTATGTGTTGCTCCAGGAGACCAGGTTGGATGAGGCCTTGAGCAACCTGGTGTAGTGGAGGGTGTCCCTGCCCACAGCAGGGGGGTTGGAACTAGGTGATCTTTGAGGTCCCTTCCAACCCTAACCATTCTATGATTAAGTCATCTTCTATCCACTTACTTATTCAAGCCTCAATCTTCTCAAGACTGTCAGGTCTATTCATTTCAGACAAGCATCTGAGCTACTTGGTTATCTATGGTGCCTAATGGAAGTCATCACTCCTGGTCCTGTGTGTCTTATTTGTCTTGTGTGTTTTGAGACAAATACATGCACTGTATATATGCATATTTATGCACACATGTGTATTCATATATACAGATACATATATATGTTATTGAATATAGTGTGGTCATTAAACAGTGCATAACTGGATATAAGACTAGAATTGGTAATGAAGCTTCTGATGGATAGTGCCTGTCTGTTGTCTTTGCTAAACAGCAGTTAGGAAATAAGAGCGTAAAACATGCAAGAGTATTTATGAGATGGAAGAAGTAGTAGTAGGTGACTTTTTAAAATATTCATATGCATATAGATACTTTTAAACTCAAAGGGATGTAGCAAATACCACAGGTACAGTGTTTTAACGAAATGTCCTAGACCAGCGAGGCTTTGTGAATAGTGAACAATGACTTTTGTCAAATTTACTAAGAAACTTTGTTGTTGTGATGCCTGGGACATGGGCAGTCATGGAAAGGAATGAGCTCATAGAAAATCAAACAAGCCCCAAACAAAGTAACTCCAAATAGTGCATGCAAAGGAGAGGTTCATGGGTATGCTTTAGACAAAAAAAGATCAAAGTTCAGAGAGTTTCTGTGACCTAAGCCATTACACACTTTTTTAAACCATTCAGTATTGCTTAAGGCTATAGTTCCAAGAAATATGGTGAGCCTGTGCAAAAGCTAATTGCTTTTAAAAGGAAGGTTCCCATCTCTTACCAGCTGCTTTTCCTTGCTTTTCTTATTTACTTTGTCCTAGCCTTTGGTGTTTGTTGATCCCTTCTATGATTCAATTGAACTTGGTAGCAATAGAAGAAAGAAATCCTTCTGCTGGGTTAGTGAATTAAATCAGCTCACAAAAACATCCAGTAAGTGTTAGTTAATGCAAGAGCAGGATGGAGTCATGTAACCAGAAGGAAGAGGCTTGCTCTCATTTGGCAATAAGGAAATTTAAATTGGTCACCTGTTTGTGGGACACAGCTGCAGTTTGTTTAGATATTGCTATATGATTTGACTATTCTTCCTCAACTTTGTATTTTCTTACTAGAATTAAGAGAAAGATAATACCAGGTTGCTACAGGGTAAGTGTGGCAGCTCTTGTAAGTCTGACTTCAGCCTTGGCCAGGTAGAAGTCTTCTGGAACAGAAATCACTAATGACCAGACTAATTAAAGCACAACATCTAAACAATAACAGCAAAATGTAGCAGAGTATCGTAATGTCTTTATGTATATTTCTTTCTTACACATTTTCTTCCACTCAAAAAGCCTAGAATTTTGAGGGTTCATAAGAGCCCGTCTGTATCAACTTGATGGCAACGCGGAAATATCCACTACCATTGTGGGTTTTTTTCTTAAACCTCTTTAAGCTTCTCTGCAACTTGTTGAATATTGGAGAGGAGGTTTATATTCTGGAAATCTTTAAGTTGTCATAGAGTTATTTTTCTTGTATTTACTTGAGTAACTTTTGAAAGTCATTCTTTCATCAGTAGAATTTTAAAGGAGGAGGGTGTGTAACTATTCAAATAGTCTCTCTTGCTCTGTGATTCCTACACTGGTTTCATTACACATCAGTGTTAATAAATTAGTATATAACTCTCTTCTATTTATGCAAAGGTTAGTAAGTTTTACAATTTCCCATTCTGATAGCACTATTTGTCAAGTAATATTGCTTCTAGACATCTGGCAATGTGATGTATGCTGTTGGCTGCTTTGCATCTCCTTGGGACATACTCTGGATTTTACTGCTATTAAAACTATACAAGTTAAATGAGAATTGTATTAAATAATGATTTTAATGTTTTAAAGCAATATTTCTATGGTCATTCTAAAACTTTATTTACTACTGTATATTCTTATCTTGATTATCCTGGTATCAGTGAGCTAATTCAATTCTGGTTTTGATTCTAAATTTAAACCTTAGGTCAATATTCTATGGATGGCAAAGTTCAGATGAGGGAGTAATCTTTACCCACTGTGATTCAGTTTGATTGATTTGCTTTTTTAGAAAGTTTTAGCTTGGTGTTAAGCCTTTCTTTTGTTTAAATCACATTGCACTGAGGCTAATGATAATTCTTGCTAGAGAAGAATTCTCTTGTGCATTTCTTATGCCTGCTCTCATCGAATACTTGCAAGCAATCATAGTCATAAATTTTTTAGGACAGAAGGGACTGTAATATTCCGTTTGGCTTCTTACATAATATAAGCTATAGATCTTTTTTGTATTAATTCTTGCCTGAATTCTGATAGTATTTCTTTTTTTAGTCTTCACTTCTGAAAGCCCTTCATATTTGATGGCTGAAATTATTTGAGGAAGGACTAAAAACTGAACTGCTAATTTTTGCACTTTCTAGTTTGTCAGTGGAAAGCTTGAAGAAGAAAACCTTTGATAGTATAATTCTAAAACGGAATGTTTTGCTCCTGGTAATCTTTTCTGTTTCTTAACATGATGTTTCTGTATACAGATCCCAAACCATACTGGAGTTCTATTTTTTTTTTTTTTCCTTACAACTTGGTTAAAAAGAATCAAGGGTACAATCCTGTACTTGTTCAGGAACTTGCTCAGTTTGGGTATTCTTACTGATATTTCATCTTCACTCTCCCAAGTGAAGTAGAAGGTACAGAGTGAGCAGCTTTTGTTGTTTTCTGTTCTAGTTGACCTTAAACGTGGTGTAGAGATAAGAAACTAGCTTTAGAATATGTAACCTGTTACACCGCAGATGGTAACCCCTTTGGTAACATGGAGGTCAGTGTACGTCAGCTTATTCCAAGTAGCACCTCCTCAGCCAAAACCTTAGAAGAATTCCTCCTCCTTTTCCTTCGAAGTGATTTTACTAAATCAAGAATTTGAGAATTAAGTAACAGCTGTTGGTTTAGAGTCTTACTACCTGTTGCAAGTGAAAAGTTGTGCCTTTGCTGTGGAAGCTAAGTTCAGTAACTAAAAAAAAATTAGTTCAACTCAATGAAAATTCTTTGGAAAACCTTTGAAGGATTTCTATATTTTTGTACACTGCTTTGTAGCCAATATTTTTTAGCTGTATGTGTTTGGAACTATTTAATTTTGTATTATCTGTTTTGAATTTTTGAAGTTAACTTTAAAATCTGTGTATATTGTTCCTCTGTGATACAGAGAAATTACATGAAGTGTGGATATTTAAACAGTGCCCATCTACTTGCATGCATCACTTAAATGCAGTTTTTGTGTTAGATCCTACTGTTGTATAAAATCTCCTTGCTATTTCTTAGAACTCTTGATTTAAGATGTTTGAGGGAAATCTTGAAGACAAAAATTTAATGTGACAGTTAAATAGAAGTAGGAGATGCCTATAATTTTCCTTCTAAGATAGTAATTGAGAAATAAAACATACTGGAAACGTCCATAACTATTTGCCTTAGATGTGCTCATTTGTTTAAAAGAAAGAAATCATCTGTCTGTTTGAGATTTGTAACTTTGAAAAGCAAATTGCTGCGATTCTGTAGGGTGTTTCTGTCTTTATAAGTATAATCGTCCCGAATGTGTGTTTTTTTTGCCTTTTTTTTGTTTAATAGAATGATATGACACCAGTCCGGTTACAGTGGGGAGAAATTCTTATGCCACTGCTCAAGAAGTACAAGTTGAACATAACATGGGGTGATCAGGATCTATTGAACATTATGTTTTTTCATAATCCAGGTAAATCCACATTGATTCTAAGTCTAATATGACAAAGTTGATCCTTTTGGTGATGTTCAAAAATCCAGGAAAATACTCTCTCTCCTTTCGGTGAAAGTATTCAAGGGACTTTTCACTACTTCTGTTTTCTGAAAGTGTTTACTTTGAGAAGTCAGCACTGGAGCTTGCTAGAGTGTAATTAGCTGTTAGATTTCAAAACAACTGTACAAAAATTTATGAAGCAGCCTTAAGAAAACAGAAAAGATTAGTATATTTCCTGAAACAATTTTGATACTTAATCCAGAATTCTCATTTTTCTGCACAGAAAGTCTTTATGTCTTTCCTTGCCAATGGAATTACCGGCCTGACCACTGCATCTATGGAAGCAATTGTAAGGAAGCTGAAGAAGAAGGTATATTTATTCTTCATGGAAACAGAGGTGTTTACCATGATGATAAACAACCGACTTTTAGGGCTATCTATGAAGCAATAAAAAACGTAAGTGTTTTCAGCAATGTGCTTGTGCAGATTATTTTTTTAATGTATTTATATTTACAGTGCTGCATGTGTTTTGTAGGTTTTGTTGATACTTACCTTGATTGCCACAAAGTAATTTTTTTCTCTTTTAAGTGATGCTGTGTCTCACCAATTTTTCGTTTACTGCTTGGCTAGAATTCCAGTGTATTCCTTTTGTGATGAGCATCTTTTGAAACATAGTGTAGATTGTGTCTAGGTTAGGATTCTAAAACATTGCCTGTAGTTGTTAAAAGGCTTTATTCCCATTTGTTTAATAAATACATCTAGTAAACTGTTTGTATGATCATTTGGAGATCACTAGAAGCTTAATTTTTCTGGAGATTTTAAAATGCAGAAAAAAACCCCTTATTCTTCCCAAAGTTTGTGTGTATTTGCTGCCATGTTTTAGCATTTAATTGTAGCTAGATTTGGATTGTAGAAAATATTAATATTTTTAAATATATATACTATGTTTTGACCTTTTCTAGAGATTCAGTGTATTACTGTGTTGCTGTTCCTTTAAATACTAAGCACAGTGGCTTCTTCTCATTCTGCAAATAAGTCATCTAATAAACTATTTATCACTATACCAGTATACTCGCTGAAGAGCTGTAAAATTTAGCAGTGTTGCACATTTTAATGTAGCAGGCTATTGTGTGTGTATAACCTTCAAAAATCAATAGTATATTTTAATGGTGCTTTATTACATGTTGTCATATGGATATAAAAATAAAAAAAAGTGCTTTTGGAGGTCTGAGAATACATTGCAGGGAAAGTGAATGTGTTTCCATAAAAATACGATTTCTTTGTTTCCTTTGAGCATTGTCAAAAACAGAAGAAAAAATTATTTCTTTTTATTTATGATCCCATTTGGTTTATGAATATGTCAGAGAAAGTATGTAAAACACTACTGATTCAGTGGTAATAAGATGAACAAAACTATGTTACTTTGAAATGCTGTTTTAGCTTATCATTTGTTTATAAAAAATATAGCACTTTTGAATTAATGACTTCTTTATTTCATGTCCATGTTAAACATAGTATGGGTTTGAACATCATTCAGTTTAATGAAACTTCAGTAGTACCACTTTTCATACTGTTGTTTCATTATAATTTGATAAGAATTGTGTTCCTTAAAAGTTATATGTCATTCAGAAAGGTTACTGTTCAACAAACAAATAACCAGAAATAATTTTAGATCTGTAAATTTTTAATTTAATAAGGTAATTTTAAATTTCCTTCTTGCCTGTCTGGATATGTTCATTTGCTTATGCTTGTGTGGTTTTTTTTTTAAATCTCCCTTGTTAGGCTTATTGAAAGCATTGGAGAACATTTCTGTAATTTAGAGGTGTTTTTCAAATATTGCATTCAGAAACTCTGAGTTCTTGAAAACATTTAATAAACCTATAGAAAGCAAATATGATGTTCAAAGGCATTTTTATAAAACCCTTTAATAACTCTGAATAATGAGACTCTTCCTTATTGACCTTAAATCTTCTTTTCTTACATACCTTTACAGTATTCATTTGGAGATGATCTGGTTCATTCCCTGTTGCAGCCCCTAGAACTGGAATTACGGAAAACCATGCATATGTACTGTGGAAGAGTATACAAAGTGTTTATAAAGCAGCTAACAAAAAGCATAAGAGACTTGTATGCCAGAAGATCAAAGGGAAGGTGATTTTTACTCCAAGCTGTTAAATCAAGAGACTGAATTAACGTACTGGTCAAAAGGTGCAAAAATTCTAATATGGCTTGAATCAGCTCCTAATGTGCCCAGATAAAAGTTTACTAGCATACGTAAAAATGAAGAAAATATTCATGTAATGAAAAACAGGAACTTTTTTCTGCAAAGATGACTTTTTGCTCTTTTGAAGTTTAATCACTGCTATTGTTTATCTTGGGTCCAATGATTTGGGTGTTACTGACTTCTATGGTCAGTAGTTGTAGTCTGCATAATTCAGTTATCTAATGATCAAATGAACAAGGAAGAAATGAAGACGTTTAAAGAGTGTACCTCAAATAGTGTCTAAAATTCTGTTAAACTGTGAATGTAGCAATAACTGAGTCAGCAGCACTAACCTCACTTTAAAGATGTGAGCCTTTATGTAAACAAAGTTGTTTACAAGTGCAGAAAATACTCTTGTTTTCAAAGAAATGTGTGTAATCTTTGACAATCTGTACGTGCCTTTATATGTTCATCTCTTACATATTGAAGTACTGTTTTGACAATCTTGTTTTGCTTATCTTAGATGTAAACTGCACACTATAAATATGATTTTCTGAGAAATGAATAACTACTATGTGATACTAGTTTTCTCTGTCCCTAAATACGGAGACTCTAATATACAACACTTGTTTCAACATCATTGAGCCATCATGGCCAAAAGGTGGAGCACAGTTGAAGTGTTTTTTAGCGAAAATTCAGTATGAAGTTGTTTGGCTTACAATGCTTTTATAAAAATTACATGGTTTTGCAGCTTTATATGACATTTTGAAGTAGAAAAAAAAAACCCACAACAACCAAAACAGCGGAAAGCTGTTGCTGTTGTATTTCCTTACAAAGAATTATTACATGTTTATAGAGTATTTAGTACCTAAAAAGCGAAGAGCTGTAATAAGAGTTCTGATGCTTCATCAGACTTGTATATTAGATGAGTTTCTTAGAGAATATGTCCTGTTACCATATTTTTTAATAACGTGGCTTTAAAATCGTTTTGAGGCAGACCCTCAACTACATGAATGCATTACTGTCAGTAGGGTGATAGTGTTTTACAACAGGTAAGAGTTAGGCTTTCTTTAGTTAACTAAGTGAAAAAAAAATGTTTTGTTTATGTAATACAAACTTTTTTTCAGAGAAAAACATGAAGAAAAAGGTTGAGTTCTAGTGTTACAGTAAAATATTATTTAAACTTGCATGGTATGAAATGTATTTGTAAAGTATATTTGAACTTGGATAACCTAACTGAGATGAAGTTTTCATAAAGTGAGTTTTTGGATTCCAGAAAAGTTCCTGTGTGTTGAACATGGAGGATCCACTCACTGACTTGCACCTTCATCCCAACCTCATTTTAGCAGCTTAATTTTGTGACTGACTTATGTATCCATGTGAGCTGGATGAATGCTTTAGTAGTAGAAAAACACACTCCATTGTAAGCAGAGTTTATGTTCTTCTGTTCTCCCTGCTGGCTCAGGGTGTAAATTTCTGGGATGGAAACTAGGAAGTAGTCTGCCTCACATGTAGTTATGGTCTCTTTTCCTTGCTATGTAACCTTTTGAAGTCTGAAAAATCTAGAAGTCTGTGTGAAGGTGAATACTGTTATTAATTGATTTTACAATATACAATGCATTATTTTTTTACATAAATGCTGATTTTTATATCAATTTGTCTTTGGCTTTTTTTTTTACTTGTACTGTGTGCTTGTATTTAAAAATTCTGTCTCTTGACCTGTTTTTTGTGTTTATCTTTGCAGAAACTTTCTAGTTTTGACTGTGTGGTTTTTTTTTTTTATATTAGTACCTTCCATTATCTTTAGGTAAGTCTCCAGAGTATTTACTGGTTTCAAATAAATTTTTAGTTTTGTAATCCTTATTTCTTAAATTTAGAAAGATAGCCTACCTTTAAAAACAAACCTGACTTACAAAGAAAACATTTGGAGACAGTAAGAAGACTGGAAAACCAAGTAGTGCGATAGAAACCAGTTATACTCTCAAACATTTAAATACCTGATTTGTAAGTTTATGTGCATATAAGTATAGAAACTTACATCTAGCCTATGAATCTTTATTGCTCTTTACTTTTAGAAACATTGCTTTTTCTGCCGACCGGCAAAGTAGGACCTGATAAATTACCCAACTTCAGAAATCCCATTTTTACTGATTTATTTATTATAAAATTATTTAATGCTAATAGAAGTGTAAAGTTTCATATAAAAATGTAAACATGAGGAAATGTACATTCAGGTTAAACGAAGATAAATCTGTCTTCATCATACTTGATTTATGTCTATATAACAGTACCGTTATTCTGTCTCTGTTTAAAGGGATCACAGTCTCGTGGTAGAAGAGATCTATTTGAAGATGTGTTATCTCATTTGTAGGAAACTCTCACTCTCTGTGTAGGTAATATGAAAGGCCAGCTATCCCGTAATGGCACCGAAACACCTTAGGTATGGTACTTGTACCTCTGCCTGTTAATAAGGCTGCATAAGCCTTATGAAAATGTCTTTTCAGTTATTTGTAGTTTTGCTAAAAAATTTAGACTGAAGGTGACCTTAATGCCAGTTGAATTGGTTTTGGTAAGCTTTCAATTTACATTTAGAAAGGTTAAGAAAACAGATTTAAAGAAATATTTTATTTTTCCTTATTCTGGTTTTAAACTGGTTTTAAAGCAATATGGAGTTGGCCTTCGCTAGTTTTGATCTAAATTTGGTCAAGCTATAAACTTCTGGGAAAACGTTGTTTGGAAAACTGAACTGTCAACTTTTTTGTTAATTTGTACCAAGCTTCTCTCCATGCTAGACATAGTCTGACCACACAGGCTTTCCACGCTTCTGTCTGTGCAATTTCCGTAACAGGATGACTGAGAAGTCAATCCTCTTTCTTCTCTTTCTCCCAAATTATACTTCCCATCTAGATAGCATGGAAATGAAATAACTGCAGTGTAGTGGTGGGAGGAAGGAAGGGTCTGGGTCTGCTTGGAATGTTTAGAAGCAGAACATGTAAGAGGTAAAGCTGAAAGCGTAATGAATTATCTATATGTACATTATTGGGCTCTCTTACTTTGAGTGAAAATAGAAATTAAGCACTGCTGGTTTATTTACACACATTTATGGATGTGATGGTATTTATGGTGGATTAAATGGGATGAAACTGAGGGGTAAAATCAGTCTTCTACTTTTTTAGCTTATCTGTAGGAAAACTCTATAGACTTCTGGTTTCTCTTATCTGGTTAATAAAGGTGTCTCCAAATACATGGACATGTCTAGAATTTCCATTTCTTGAAATCTTAAGTTCATTTTCATTGTCTAGTTCTGTTTAAAATTAAAATATTTTCAACTATCGAACAGGTTTAACAATATTCATTTACTGACTATATAACTTTTTTTTTTGACCTTGTTAAGTGGAATACTCCTGTGTAATTTAAATGAATGTGTAGACTGTTGTGTCTCTATTTTTTTTAAATAAATTGTCCATTTTGAATAGTTTTTATTTTTACATTCTCTCCTGTGGTATCTAATACGATTACAGTAATTATAAATGCTTCCCTGCCTACTTCACTACTTTGTGAATAGATGGCGTTTGGAATAGCTCCAGTAATTTTGTGTATTAAACTAAGTTGCAAAGAACAGTAATGTGAGCGTATGGCTTTTTCTTTGTTAGCAGGAAATGGATTCTTTTGTAGCATAGACAACAGAAGTATGAAGTAAGGAGAAGATACTTCTCATCACCATGGATCTTGAAACAGATGTTAGATGGGTCTTATGTGGCCATTGTTGTCAGTGTGAGCACTTCCGTGCACAGAAACACTGAGAAGTGATGTCATAACTTGAATTTTTCAAAAGGAACCTTAGTTTTTTTTCTGTTGTGTCTCTAATCTTTTTGGATATCTTCTGCTACATGTTTTCATTTTTGGCACTTCAGTTCTGTCCAGCTGAATTTATCTACATATTTGAGAAGAATAACTTAAATTCCTACAAAGTTTTGGGCAAGTAACAGCCAAGCTATTTGTTCAAGTTGCCTAAGTGGGCAAAGTATGAACCCAGCAAGTCAGATTTAAACAAATTAAAACACTAGTGTACATACTTTAAGTTTCCTTAGAAAAAAGAACAACGTTGTTTGATCCAAGTTTAACTCTACAGAGAAACACAACTTGCTCTCTGTATTTAACTGCTAAACCTTAAGTAACACAGGATAATTTTCTGTAGAAATGCAGATTGCTTCACAGTTGCTTTGTAGTCCTAGTAGACTACTAGAAACTATTACTCAGGTTTAAGAACAGAAGATGTTTGCAGAGATAACAGTGAATTTTCCACTTCAGGAAGTGAGGAGAAAATCTAATTTTTAAAGTAGTTCTCAAAATCTCTCTCTTGTAACCACTTAGTGGATCTGTATAACAACAGTTTGACCTCCAACGTTGTCGTAAGATATAAGATTTGTGGTTCCCCAATGCGTTTTTAAGCCTTTGTGGGCCTATTAAAATTTAAGTTTCTTGAAGGAATTTAAAGTAATCAGAAATTCTTGCATTGAAGTTCAGTTGTGTCTCTTCAGTTTTTGTAATTGCTTTATGCACAGTTGCATTGAATTCTTTCTTAGAGAGTCCACATTTAAATTTATGAATGTGCATCTTCCTCTATATTTGCTAGCAAATTTCTACAAGGCTTCTTTCTTCTCCCCTCCCCCTTTTCCCTAATTTTTTGAGCCTAATTTCTGATTTGGTGGGTGTGTTCAGGGTTAGCATCCTTGATTCGGTCAAATCATTTGAGTTTTCCTGTGTCAGCTCCTTATGTGGACAAATGACCAGGTATCTCCGAAAAGACTTGATTCCTTGTTTCCTTTGAACTCCAAGGAAAGGAATGGCAGCTCTTTAAGTCATTGCTGTAGATATTTAGTGATACTGGTTTTAGTGTTTTTTTTCTAATGGTCATGCTGAAAGTGGAGGGAAAAAGATGGAGTTATTCAAGATCTCCTTGTTAGTTCCTGCCCCGCTGTGTTTTAGAATTCCATATGACGCTTAAAAAAAACCAACCAAAACCCAACTTTCTGCATCTGTGTCAAAGCCAGAGGAGAAGAAACTTGATAGCTTCTCCTGACACATTAACACCTTCGTTTAGGAACATGCTTTCACTGGTCATGGGCCTTACTCGTAAATTAAAAGTCAAGACAATTTCCTTGCACTGTTTATCAAAACAGGTCTGCAAGAGCAGGACTCATCGGGTTTGACGTAGCTTATTGCTGTTTAAAGAGTGCCAAACTTGTAAGATAAAGGTATATTATGTTCCCAGAGTTCCAAAGTAAGTCAGTTAGAAGCC